TCGACTCCATGTCGCCGCCAAGAAGCTAATCGATCGTCAATGTTTAACCCTCCAGGCTTGGCTTCAACCAGAGCGTAGCAGGGGTGGCCTTACTTGGACCCGAGCGACGGCGACCTACCGTGTTCTACTCTTCCTTATTTTCTGTGTGGTGCGGCCTCATTGGCAGTGGGGTGGGGCCTCGACAGAGCCGACGATGTTCTCTATCTCGTTGCCGGTGGGGCGGCGGCTCGGTGGAGCAGCCTCCCCCTGGTTGCCGGCAGGGCGGGGCCTCGACGGAGCCGTCGATGTCCTCTGCCTTGTTGTTAGCGGGGCGGGGCCTCGGCGGAGAAGAGCCTCACCGAAGCCGGCAAAGTCCTCCACCTCGGTGCCAGCGGCACGGGGCCTCGGCGGAGTTGGTGATGTCCTCTGCCTTGTTGTTGGCTGGGCGGGGCCTCGCCTAAGCCGGTGAAGTCTTCCGCCTCGGTGCCGGCGGGGCGGGGCCTCGGCGGAGCCGACATTGTCCTCCTCCTCCTCGTCAGTCTCGCCAAATAGCGCCTGGCCCGCTTCATCGCCATCTTTGTAGGCGGCCGCAACCTCCGCCACCTGCATGCGGTACTGCTAGAGCGCGAGGCGACACTCGCGGGCGGAGCGGTAGAACTCGAGCAGCACCTTCTGCTCCTCCCGCTCCGCGGTGATCTGCTCCTCCACCTGCAGGTGCTCCTAGAGGACATGGTTGTTGTAGGCGGCGTCAGCGCAGATGCCTCCCGGAACTGCTCCTCATGCTTGTGCCTCACCATGTCCATGCATTGGGCACGGGCGTCACCGATGGTCATGGTGCAATGCACCGGCGAGGATGGCGTGGTGGAGGAGGTTGGCATCGGATCATCGACTACCACATTCTTCATTGGGGCGTCGTCATCCTCCGGCTGCCTGCTAGCCAGCCAGTCAGCAAAAATGGCTGGCATCTCCTTCTAGTCTGTTGTTCACCCATCTTGAAGAGCGCTGGAGCGCGAGGAAGCCATGGTGGGAGTGGTGTGGATAGGAGAAAGGGAACAGAGGCGGATGACTGCGGCTATGGCCGGTGCAGCAGTTTATATAGCAATGGTGGGCGGCAGAAGGACGGACAGGTGGCGCCAGAGTATCCACCTCGGCAACCGCGTATCATTAATGTGGGCGACAGATGGACGGATGGGCGACACTTGTGTTGTTTGAACATGGAGCAATCGCCTGTGCCGAGAAACGGCATGGGTGACACTGACCGTTTCTGGCAGAAAGCGCACGCGGGAGAGGGAGGGGGTCTGGGTGGGCTAGGGTGGTCAGACTCCTGCTTGGTAGTGGTCCATTCAACCAACCAGACATGCTGGCTCGCCAGCGAGCTCGCCGTGCTCAATGATGACAGTCAGAAGATGGATGTGGTTTCCGACCAGGAGCCAGCGCAACTAGCCAAGTGGGTTCATGCAGTGTTTACCATAGAGCAGGTGCAGCCGCACTTCGACACCCTAATGGCGGAAGAGCTACCAGCACAGGAGGACCTGTGCTGCAACCTCCGTCTCCTCAACGAGCACCGGCTCGTGGAAGGACGAATCACCAGGGAACAAGTGAATGCTAATTGCAAACTAGCTGGAGATAAGGGTTGTCCTTGCACCTGAACATCTTATCCGGTTACATTTATGCCAAGATAGGTTTCCTGATTTGTGCAAGTGTAAGTTAATGTCACACACTGATGGTCCTTTTAAGGCGTTGGAGAAAATAAATGATAATGCATATAAATTTTGAGTTGCGCAGATTTTGGGTTAGTCCCACATTTAACATATCAAATTTGAAGCCTTATTTGGGAGAAGATGATGAGGTTCCGTTGAGGACGACTTCAATTCAAGAAGGAGAGGATGAAGGGGACATCCCTACCATTATTACACCCATAGCCCCAATTTCTACATGGATTGGACCTGTTACTACAGCTTGCGCACGTCAAGTAAATTATCAAGTACTTTCATTTTCTTGGAAATATTCTGATGTTCATGAGAGTATTTTATGATGGTGAAGTTCATGAGATTATGATGTTGCCTAAATTAGATAAGTTGGTATTAATTAGGAAGGAAGGGCCTAGCATGGAGAAGAAGGATGAACATTGAAGCATGATCAAGCATGGAGAACAAGGCAGGCGCATAGGGGTTGCCAATGGCGTTCCAGGCAAAGATTCTACAACACTGAGGCTATCGTCATGATGCGAGGAGGCACAGACGAAATATACAAAGACCATACTTCCTATTTTCGCCCGTAGACATATATAGGTGCCGTGCCACCTCACTTTTGGGCCAGCCCTATGTAATTTCGAAATACCAGATGATACATCTATTTTGCATCATGTTTTCTTACTGTTATTTATAATGATTTTGGTCATTATTCCACTTTATGATGCAATTAAAATGTTGTTTCTCTCTTAATTTGCGAGATTTACATGGAGAGGGAAATTACCGGCAGCTGGAAGTCTGGACCTAAAAGAGCTACAACAGAGATAGCTATTCTACAAAGCTCCAAATGACATGAAACTTCACAAGAATTTTTTATTGAATATATAAAAAATACTGAGTAAAGAAATGCCAAAGGGGGGCCACCATTTTCCCACAAGACAACAGGGCCCCCACCCCGAGGGCATGCCCTGATGCCTTTTGGGGCCCACAGTTGGCCTCTAGTGCCCATCTTCTACTATATGAGGGCTTTTACCCTAGAAAAAATAGAAGAAGAATTTTGGGATGAAGCACCGCCGTCTCGAGGCGATACCTGGGCAGGAGCCCGTTTGCTCTCCGACGGAGCGCCGCCGGGGGAACTTCCCTCCGGAGGGGGAAATCAAAGCCATCGACATCACCAATGATCCTCTCATAGTGGGAGGACCAATCTTCATCAACATCTTCACCATCACCATCTCATCTGAAACCCTAGTTGATCTCTTGTATTAAATCTTTGTCCCAAAACCTCAGATTGGTACCTATGGGTTGCTAGTAGTATTGATTACATCTTATAGTTCATGCTAGTTGGTTTACTTGGTGGAATATTAAATGTTCAGATCCTCAATCATATTCCATACACCTCTGATCTGGAACATGAATATGATTTGTGAATAGTTACTTTTGTTCTTGAGGACATGGGAGAAGTCTTGTTATAAGTAATCATGTGAAGTTGGTATTCGTTTGATATTTTGATGATATGTATGTTGTTCTTCCTTTACTGGTGTCATGTGAATGTCGACTACATGACAGTTCACCATACTTGGGCCTAATGGAAGGTATTGAGGAGTAATAAGTAGATGATGGGTTGCGACTGTGATAGAAGCTTAAACCCTAGCTTATGCGTACTTCCGTAAAGGGCTGATTTGGATCCATATGTTACATGCTATGGTTAGATTTATGTTAATCCTTCTTTCGTACTTGTGGATGCTTGCGAGTGGGGGTAATCACAAGAGGGGTGTTTGTTCAAGTAAGAACATCACCCTGGCATCGGTCCACCCACATATCAAATGATCAAAGTAGTGAATGCGAATCAACTTAACAATATGAACGTGACCAGACGACAATTCCCATGTGTCATCGAGAACGCTTTGCTTCATATAAGGGAACATTCCAGCTTGTCCTTTGCTATAAAAAGGATTGGGCCACCTTGCTGCACTTTGTTACTATTGTTAATTGTTACGAATTACCTTGCTACAAAACTATCTGTTACCGCCACTTTCAGTACTTGCAGAGAATACCTTGCTGAAAACCGCTTATCATTTCTTTTTGCACCTCATTAGGTTCGACACTCTTACTTATTGAAAAGGGCTACAATTGATACTTGCGGTTCATCACCAGACCACAGGTTGTTTTTATAGTCCGTATTGATAGGGAAAATTACTTAGGACGGAATTTAGCCCCACCTTGCCAAGGGTGTACGAAATTCCACTCTGTGTCCATATAAATACAACCCTTAGGGCATTCTTTTAGACCTGCGTTTTGTTTAGATAAAAGTTTGCCATAGCCGCAACTTAAGTACTTTATTTGTGTCCAACGACCAGGCCAAGATGTTCACGAAACCGCAAACTTTATCAATGAAGCTTTCATCTTAATTCGCAATATCCAGATTGCAATCTTAGTACTTTCTTGTTCTTCATTTGCATGCAGGAATTAGGCCTTCGTGGTCAGGTTGATCATGCTCCTTTGTTGTTAGTAATCTCGGAAAGTTGGTTTAACAATTGCTAAGGCACGACGTCTTCACACGTTCGTAGTCGGATCGTGAAAGTCTACTCCACCAAAAAGATAGTTACCCCTCATTGAAAGATCGGGATAAGCCTGCTCTATCAAAATCTGTCTTTTCTCTGCAATGAACTTTACTTCTCTACCTTTTAGTTATACCCCTTGATATTGTAAATGTTAACCCATGCTCTGACAACGTTTGGCTCACGTCGAGAGGATATCAGGCATGTATGATGTCCTTCATGGAATGTAATGGGGCGGGTGGCCAGCGTTTGTGGGTGCCGGATCCTCTTACTTAGGAAGGACTCTCTAGTTTCATGAACAATGTTCATTTCAATTTTTTAAATATTGAGTTCATTTTTCAAAAGATCCGTTTCAGCTTTTAACATACGAATTTCAATTTTCAAAAGATTCATTTAGCTTGTTCAACAGTTCCAGTTCAATTTCAAAAGGACTCTAACTTGCTTTCCCCTTCTTTCTTTTTTACAAAAGAGCACTTTAGCTTCCCGACTTGCCTCGTGCAAATTAGAGGATCGGCTTCATGTTGGTATTCCATTTCAAAAAACAAAAAAAATCCGATATACACACCTACGAGTAACAAAAAATCAAGAGGGTTTTACAGGTCTTTTTGATGTGTGCCCAAGGAACTAAGGAAGGATATTGACAAACTATCAGAGTCCGTTTCCACCCGCACACCTCTAGGGTCCACAACTCGGAAGAATGTACAATCATTTATAGCATCAAGAACACTTCACCTACCTGCCTGCTATACTAGGCAATCACACACAATTTTTTTCACATGAATTCTAGTCTGCTTCTATGAGCTGAAGTAGAGGCGATGGATCTGACAACACCAGCAAGGCCTGGACTAAAACTTGAAATGAGGATCACAAGTTGGCGGGCACGAGCTCCAGTTGCTGCAGCGGCTCGAGGGAGGCGACGATGTCGCGCATGAGCGGCCGCGCCTTGGGGTTGCTGCTGAGGCAGTGGTACGCGAGCATGGCCGCCTTCTGCACGGACCTGACGGGGTAGTCGTCGGAGCCGAGCCTTGGGTCTAGGATCCCCAACACCTACTTCTTGTGCATCAGCATCGGCAACGCCCAGTCCGCCAGCGTCTGCTCCCGCATCGGCCAACACTTGTCCAGTGACTTGCGCCCCGTAACCAGCTCCAACAGCACCACCCCGTAGCTGTACACGTCGCTCATCGCCGTCAGGTGCCCTAATCGCTTTCAGTCAAATCAATTTAGCCACCAGACAAGTATGTATGATCGAGCTTAATTTGAGTTTGTAGTCTCTCTATTTTTGGCATGGCACCTGTCATGATGTACTCTGGGGCGGCGTAACCGTAGGTGCCCATGATGCGGGTGGAGACGTGGGATATGTCGCCGACGGGGCCATCCTTGGCGAGGCCGAAGTCGGAGAGCTTGGCGTTGAAGTCATGGTCGAGGAGGATGTTGGAGGTCTTGAAATCGCGGTAGATGACGGGCTTCTCGGCCTCATGGAGGAAAGCCAGGCCCCTCACCACGCCCAGCGTGATCTTCATCCTCGTCGCCCACGCCAGGGGCGCCATCACCCCTGAAATGAAAACCACATCCATCAATCGCACCTGCTCTGGACACGCACCAAACTAAAAGTGTGGAAAATGAAGGTGGTACGCCTACGTACGTGAGAAGAGGTGTGACTCCACGCTACCGAGCGGCATGTACTCGTAGACCAGCACCCGATGCTCGCCCTCACAGCAGTAGCCCGCTAGCTTCACCAGGTTTGGGTGCGACAGGTGGCCCAAGAAGATCAACTCCGCCTACATAATCTCGACACAAAAAGGCATAGCAAGATAGATGCTTGTCAGGCTAGGCGTACAACCAAAATCTGCACCTACCACGCTTACAATTACTACATTTATGTTACCTCAAAAAAATTACTACATTTATTATGGAAATAAACACTAGTAGGAGTAGTAAAGATTTGTGAGAGTTTAATTAGTGTAGGTGCCAATTTGAAAACAAAATGTAGGTGTCACGATTAGAGAGACTGACCAGCCACTCCCTGTGGCCCTGGAAGCTGTTATCCCCATCGTGCACCTTGACGGCGACCTGCAGGGGCTCGTCTCCGCCGCCGTCCATACCACGGCGCCCTTGTACACCCTGCCGAAGCCGCCGCCGCCGATTAGCGAGTCCTGCCGGAACCCGTTGGTCACCTTCCGGAGCTCCTCGAAAGAGAAGGCGGTCAGCGGGTTCCGCGCCGCCGAGTCGAGCTGCATGGCCTCCACCTCCCTCGCGTTCGACGGCAGCCTGCTCTCATCGCTCCGGTCCCTCTCCGATGGGCTCTGGATCTTGGGAGTCTCTGCACACGTACGTACCACAACTGTCAATACCATCACCACGCCAACTGAATTATCTCTCTTTAAATAATGGATTTTGCTGGAGCTAGTGGTAGTGGGTGGTCAAAATTTCAGGAAATAATCCATTTGCCTATAGAATACTGAAATAGAGTGCCCAATCAGGACTTCCGGTTCGGACAAAAAACGAAATCAAATTTCTGAATCTGAGGGCGGTGGATCACGCATAACGATCACTTAGAAAGCAGAGCAGCAAGGAAGAGGAGTATTACTCACCTGACTTTGCAGTGGAGACCCTGTTAATGTAGGAACTCCCCCGAAACCAGCAGTTGCCCATAAGACAGAGTATTTATTCCCTCTATATCTATCTCTCTCCCCTATTTCTGCCACCAAGAACAGCCCGAGGAAGAAGAAGATGGTACAGAGGTAAAGACTGGAAAAATAGAGAAGGAAGCAGAGCGAGTATCCTGATAAGAAAGGAAGAAGACGATCACTATGTCTATATGCAGGGCTCAAGAGTTGACGAGAGTCCGGACGATCAAACCAGCTTTCGTCCTAAACGAAACAGGGAAAGGGCCAAAGGCCCACGGAGAGAAAAGTTGGTCACAGACGAAAGAGGAATGAATGAACACAGAGAGAGAGAGACCCGAGGAGGAGGATCGGTACTTGGTACTACTACTTCAACAAGAGGAGAAAGGAAAGAAACGAAAAGAAAAACAAACAAAAGGCAGTAGTACGATTCAAGTGAACCATCACTTTCTTCCCTTTATACTTTTAATCATGAGAAACCACTAATCAAACGCTAGGTAAAAGCATATAAAATTTGCAATTATGCAAGGCAGTTGGCCTGTTTCTGGTAGCCGGTTACACCAGGAGAGCATAATTCGTGAGCACGAATCCATGTTTGGTTCGTACAGGCATTTCATGTGCCAATTTCGCTTGAATTGCCAATACAATACAACACCATTGATTATCTATCATACAAGGTGGTGCGGAGCACCCTATGAACATCATCAATTCACCATTGATTCTGCACCAATATGGTGCGGAGCATCCTACGGCCATCCTCATGGATGCGTCATCATCATCCCAAGCACCGAAGCGGACCGATAACAAGGGTACGTGCAAGAGCTATTGAGACTAAGGTGACATCTCTGCTTAATGAACTTCCATTTGAGTCACTTGAGACATGGCTACTACCTCAAGAGGAAATGCTATCTGTCCTTAGGTATCAAAAAGACAACCTCGGAGACACTCGGGACGAAGGCCAAGCCACCATAGATGCGAACGAAAGAACACCTCAAGTGGAGTCACTGAAATGCTACACCGGCCGGACATCCAACCTCAGCCCAAAAATCCGACGCCTCCATGTCCAACGCGAACTCCAAGAACCTGCGCCTGCTAAAGCTACAACGGCCGGACATCAGGCGTACCGTGACAGGCCGGACATCCGGCGCCTCCCCGAAAATCCGTCCAGAGGAGTCCAGAACCGTTTCTGAATTGGGCCATCACCTGGCCGGTCATTCGGCGCCCCAAGTTGAGCCGGACATCCCGCATGCCCCCGGACATCCGGCGCTTGCGTGTGCAGAGCCGAGCCAAAGGCCCATGTAACCCTCCCCCTCTCACTTATTCCGTACTAGATTATAAATAGACAATCCCCTACCTCTCGCTAGGGTTAGCAAATAACTTTGTGAGATCTATAGAGCTTTGCTCCTATCTATCACATCTCCCATGGAGATCAAGACCTCCATGTGAGAAGATCCCTAGTGGATATCAAGACCCCATCTAGACCTAGGGAAGATCTTGTAAGGATATCAGGGCCCCCCTCTTCTTGAGATTAGGATGAACTATCTACCTATTTGCCTACCTATGTTCGATTTGGGTCTTTTAACTCATATGTGTATGTGGATTTAGTGGATGTGTTACTTGAATCTTGTCTTGAGTGTTTTCCTCCTTGTGTTTTCCTCTTGATTGCTCTTTTTCCCACCTCCAAGTGTGAAAAGATCAGCTACGATGGTTTCACCCCGTATCGTCTTGAATCAGAGCATAGGATGATTCACATCTTGAACCCCATCCCCCCACTTTCTAGCCTAATTTTGTTTGTTTTTGACCTAATTCAAAAATTCCCACCAAAAATAGCCATACAAAAAATTCTATGATTTCTTGGTTTTGATAAGATTTTGTTGATTCTGATCCACAGATTTGAAGTACCGCAGGTGGATCTATCTTTCCATCACCTCTCCCCATGAAATCCACCCATTTTTTCTCCATGTCTTTAAACCCGTTAGATCAGATTTGGCTCGGACCAGTTGCCGGACATCCGCCCCGATGCAACCAACGTCCCCATTTCACCCATTGTTGGTGTCAAAACCGGCAGACCTCGGGGTAGGGGGTCCGGAGCTGTGGATCTTAGATTTGTGGCAACAGGAACAAGGGAGACGATGTTTACCCAGGTTCGGGCCCTCTTGGTGGAGGTAAAACCCTACGTCCTGCTCCTGTTTATATTGATGGTGATGTATCGAGTACAAGCTTGATCTACCTCGACATCGTAAGTTGTGTTCTAACCCTATGGCCAGGTGAATGTAATTGTGATTTGGTCCTTTCTGTGGGCTAAACCCTTTGGCTTATATACACGCCAGGTAGCGCATCTAGGGTTGCATGGTCGATATCTAGGGGGATCGCATGGAGGCGGTAGGAGATGTCTTGGAGTATACGTGATGCGGAGCATCCTATGGTCATCCCCATGGAGCTACCATCATCTCACCAAGTGCCAAGAGGACCGATGACACAAGCACGAGATAGAGCTCTTGAGACCAAGGTGACATCTCTCCTTAGTGATATTCCATAGGACCCACTCGGGACATGGCTACTACCTAAGTCTGGAATGTTATGCATGGTTAGGTATCAAGAGGACCCTCTCGGAGATATACATGAAAATGGACAAGTCCCCAAGTTCATGGATGAAGAGGCCCAACGGAAGGAACCGAAGAAGTCCCGAGGACCCGGACATCTGGCCCCTGGAACATCAGCTGCCGCAGCCCAACAACCGAAGCTACAAGGCCCGGACATCCGGCCCAGGCCCCGGACATCCGACCTGATGTGTACCACAGACATCCGGCCCTAGCCCGGAAATCCGGCACTCTTCATAGAATGAAACTAAGGCCACCCCGGACATCCGCCTCCCCTAGCTCGGACATCCGGCCCGACCTGAAGGCCTGGACATCCGGCCCCTGCCCGGACATCTGGCCCTTGTGTGTGCACAGTGTAACGGGCCTCCAACCCTTGTATCTCTCCATCTCGCCCCAACTTCATCCTAGATTATAAATAGACCACTCCCTCCTCTTGTTAGGGTTGACATTGGTTTAGCTCATTTTAGAGATGGAGCTTTGCTGATCCACTTAATACATACTCCATTGGAGAACGAGGCCTCCGCGGAGAAGATCCCAAATGGATTCAAGACCCCGTCAAGGGAAGACCCCCTCGCAGATTCAAGACCCCATCTCATCACGGATTGGGAAGAACTGCCGACGGTTTGTATCGTCCCTTGTTGTGTTTGGATTATGTATCACTCTTTATGTTCGTGGATCTAGCACATGTGTGATTGTTTCCCGTTGATTTGAGTGTTTCCTCTCATTTCCCCTCTCGTGTGTTCTTCGTGTTCTTCGTGGGATCCCCTCCAAATCGTGAAAGATCGGCCCTAGGGTTCCACCCTTCATCATCTTGGTATCATGAGCCAAGGTTGATCATGATTTTGGAGCCTCCCCCTTCGTTTTCGAGCCTAATTTTGTTGTGTTTTATCCTAATTTTGAAAATCCCCACAAAAATAGCCCCCAATTATTTTTTGTGATTTGTTGGTGTGATGATGTTTTGTCGATTTTGATTCGTGGATTTGATGTGTTGCAAGTAGATCTAGCTTCTCCTAACTTCCCCCCCAAATCCATCCACGAAATCCCTCGAATTTTACCCCTAATTTTTTCTTTCCCCCGAGATCCACTGAGTTCGTCACTGATTTGGAGCCCCGGACATCTAGTCCGTGGCCCCCGGACATCCGGCCCGCAAGCCCGGACATCCGGTCTCCCGCATCATGATACGTCTCCAACTTATCTATAATTTTTGATTGCTCCATGCTATATTATCTACTGTTTTGGGCAATATTGGGCTTTATTATCCACTTTTATATTATTTTTGGGACTAACCTATTAACCGAAGGCCCAGCCCAGATTTGCCGTTTTATGCCTATTTCAGTGTTTCGAGGAAAAGGAATATCAGACGGAGTCAAAACAGAACGAAATCATCTGAAGAAGTTATTTTTGGAAGGAAAGCCACCCGATGGACTTGGAGTGCACATCAGGGAAGAAGGGAGG